AGATACGATTCTCCTTGTTTTTTCTTGTCTAAAAAATCGTTTCTTTAACAAATCTGCACACGTTTTGTTGCACTGGACTGGCTTCCGATTTCGGGTTTCGCTCGGCTCTCGTTGCCGCTCCGGCGCTCGCCTTCTCGGGGCCTTTGGTTCTAAAGATGTTGGGCCTCGGTCGGCGCTCGTTGCTTCTCCAGCTCTCGCTTTCTCGGGCCTCTTTGCTCTCGGATTTTTGGGTCTTGCTCGGTGCTCGCCTTCTCTCGCTTTAATGTCAAATGTAGAATGCCGGTTGGATCTAAAAAGAAGAAGAAAATATTACATGCCGAAACGCTAGACAAGCGGTCGTTTTGGCCGTCCTTTGCTTTTCTCCTTCTTCTACTCTCTCTCTCTCTCTCTCTCTCTTTCTCTCCCCCTTTCTCTTCTCCGTACACTTTGCTAAATCGCCTTCTCCTCGTCGGTCGTTGTAGAACATGTAATTCCAATTAGGACAATCTTAGGGTTCATCTATTCTTCTTGCGTGCCTCGGGACTTCTCTTGATCCAACAAAAGAAATCGCCTTGTTTCACTCGGGTGAAAAAGGCCCTTTGTTCTCTATTTTCTTTTGCTTGATTTATTTATTTATTTATTTGGTTTGTTTGAACCTCTTTTTATAGCGATTCGCAAGTCGGACATAAGTTTCTTGTTATCTTTTTCCTGTCTTTAGTCGAAGCTCTGTGCAAGTTTTGATTTTGGACTGAATGGTATAATTCTATGGAAGAAATTTCTAATGCGGAATTGTTGAAATCTTTGTAATGATGTTCTTTTAGTGATTTCGGTTTGACGACGCTATGATTCTTTGGCCTTGTGTATCCGTGATTATGTATAATTTAGTCTTATTTGATCTTAATGCGGCATATAAGAACGTTCGTGTGCACTCTTATATAGTTCTCTTTCCTTTATCGGCATCTTGCAAACAAGGTTTGTTAATGGGCTTATGGGGAGTGAGTTACTCTACGAAGGAGTTTCCTTTTAGATTTTTTTTATTTTGGTCCGTCCAACTCTAACTCTCAACTCGCTCTCTAACTTTTGCCATACCTCTTTATAGAGCATGGGAGTCAAAATCCACATCCGAAAATGGACGTCCCCACCCTTAGTCTCATTGAAAAGGTAGGAAATCTAACTCTTCACCTCCCCTTTCCCAATTAGTTCATACCACATATTTGTTAAAATGCCGTAGTGAGACATATTTTCGTATCCTCGTTTTTGGTTGAAGCCAAAGTTGTCCGTGCATTGTCTCGTTCTGGTTAAACGTTTTTTTTTTTGTGGTGGGCAGCCCCGGGCGCTGGCCATTTAGTCATTTGTTGTTGTCATTTTTTTTTTGTGTTTTAAAAGTCGGCCCGGTAGTGCTAGCCTTGAGGTGAGTATCGATGGGTGGCTGGGTCGAAATCAGACGTGAAGTTGAGTGTGGCTGAGTGTGGTCGAGCCGAGTCGTGGCCGAGCTTTGGGCCTGAGGAGGCCGAGCCAAGCCTTGGCCAATGGCGGTGGCTACCTAGACAGAGGCCATGCCCTCGGCCTAGGTGGGCCAAGGCAGCACCGGAGTGGTCATGCGGCCAGGCCAACACGAGCGGCGCCGTTCGTTTCGGTCGTCACCATCATTGCCATGAACGAGTAGGCCGGCATGAGGGGAAGTCGAGCTGGTTAGGTAGAGGTCGCGCTCTTGGCCCGGGGCAAGAGAATTGACTGGCCAGAGGCCAAGATCTTGGCATGGGTAGCGGCGTCGCCATGTTTGCCCGACCGAGTAGAGCAGGGGTCAAGGCTGGCCAGAGAAGGAGTCGGGTCGGTCTGGTGACAAGCCAGGTTGGGTGAGGAGGCTGACCCAATTCTCTCTTTTTCCTTTTTTTCCTTTGGGCTGGGCTAGGAAAATAGAAAATAGGTTGTGGGCTGGGCCTAGGCTTAGTCTTTTCTAGGTCTAGGTTTTGGTTTGGGTCGGCCTGGTGTTTCTTTTAGTCCTTTTTTAGATCGCTCGGAGCCCAGTCCAGCGGTGGACTCAGGCGGGTATGCCCAGGGTTGATTTATTTTATATAATATAATATAATATAATAATTTTAATATTAAAAAATGTTTTAAAATTTAAAAAATATTAAAAAATATCGAAAATTAGAAAATAGGATTGGGCTTGGGAATTGCCTTTTCTTGCCTTTCAATGTGATTAGTGTCATATTTGATTGCATATTGTTTGGTTCGTACATTTTGAATTACGTGTTTAATTTGATCTTGTATGTGGACGTTTAGAGGCATGTTTGGCCGTTGTTTGCACACTTCCGATATATTGATTGTTGTTTACTTAGCCTGGTTAGGATTAGAACTTTAGGATTCATAATTGATAAGAAGACTGTATTGAATAAGGTTAGGTTTCAAAAATGCATTAGTTGGAAAACTAATGTAATCAAATCCCCGAGCTCATTGAATTTCTGGTTTGTAGGAGTAAGGCAATTCTCCCGTTGTTTTACTATGGTATCTAATTGACTCACCAAAAATTAATTAGTGGCGACTTCTAGATGAAAATGATTTGCATGTTAAGAACTTGAACCATAAATCGCGAATTGATATGGACTTGAGAGAGCTCAAGTTAAGTTCTAAGTTTAAACTTAGTAATTTTTTAGCCGAACCCTAACTGGTTCGGGATTGTAATGCCTGCTTCTTTACACAATGGAGCTCTTGAGAGAGTACGACAAAATATTCAAACCATCAATATTGGAGTTTTGTCATCTCAACTGGTCAAAATATTCAAACCATCAAATCAAACCCAATATTAAAAGCCTAATAAAGCCTTATGACGAGGTCAAACTTGATTTGTGCCTCGATAGAAAAGCTACTTAGGCTATATTTTTTGTATAGCTCGATCATGTAAAGGCTCCATTGAGTGACTTGTGCTCGATTAAGTTTCATATTAAATGACGGTGACTCTATTGAGTTACATGAGTCACTGCATTGTGTGATTATTTAGGGTACTCATTTTGGAAGTTTGACTCACGTGATACTGAGCAGGCCGGGTTTTATAATGTCATCATCGGTTTGACGGAGCGGCAATCCTTGCCTTGCAGAGCTATTACTGTTTCTCACTTTTTTTAATTTTTAAATCATATCAAATAAACATGTAACACCCAGACAGAAAATATGTGCCTCCATCTAGTGTTATAGTCGATCATTCAACAAACTGAGTATAAGAAATAAGTACCTTTATTATATCTTATTCTATTCCAATCTAGTCGGAAATTTTGTATTTGGTCCTTATTGTTCGAGAGGCTTGACGAAGCATTATGATCCAGTTGGGTCGTCCAAAAAATATAAGTTGGGTAACTATATGTATGCTCGAGTCATGGAAAAGGACTAAAATGTCCCAGACTAACTTCGAATCCTCGTTAACGATGAACTGATGGGTGGGCAGACCTTACAAAGTGTTTGATACGGTGGATTAGGTTTCCTTAGACGGGTTCCTACCTAAGGTCATGTTCATCCCAAACCTATATCACTCTATATTTCTATTTTGGGTTCATTTTTTTTTTCCATTGATCTCTATACTTAACTAAATCCATCCGTGTCTCTCGAATGGCACTATTAACTACTCGTCACAAAACAAATTAATCAACACTTTTTGTCGTGGTCATTACCACTTTTGCCACTTCAAATGTTGTCGCGACGACGACATGTACCCAATATTCCTAGGGGAAAGGGTTGTCCTGAATCATCAACCGTTCATGCAGCAGACAGAAAACCCATATAGGGAAAATACAAGGTTGACATTATTCCGTATAACATTTGATTTACGCCTTCCTATTTCTCGAAATACGTGATCGATATGGTCTGTCCTCAAGATTGAGTGGACCGACGACTTTGCCCTTTTGTGCTGGCTCTACTTGTTCTGATACAAATGGAATGAGTTTGGTGGTAAGATGGGAAGCTAAACATCGTTTTAGGGCATATTCATTGCATCGCACAATAATGGTAAGTCTTATATGGGCCAATGTCATTGATTACATGCTACTCTTTCTTCGAGTCTTCGTCCACGAAGGCTCGCTATCTTCATCGCTTCAAAGAACGGCCACCACAAAAATTTGGGGCGTACATAAAGCAACATGAGGGAAATTCCAAGAGTATTTAAGGGGAAGAATAGACCCCGATGATGATGCGATCGCAGCTAGTAATAATCTTTCACGTTTAATGATCGACTTTGGTTAGAGTGGCCCTCGTGAATTACGTCTCGAACATGCATTCCCAATGTTTTGGTCCAAAAATGGCGGTATTGTTCCTCCCAATATCAGAAATTTGGAACTTTGAGAAGTACCATGATCTCCTAACTTTGCTCCAACTTACTTTATGCCAGCCAAATCACATGCCCCAATCGAGGTGTCATGGCATCTATTAAGATTGCGAGAACATGGCATCTCATAATTTTGGCCCACAACTAGTGGAAGAAACTATTTCCACTAAATTTTCGGATGTCCGTACGTGCCCAATAATGTTATTTAGGATCTTATTAATAAGTGGCCCGAGATATTTGTTAACCATACTTTAATAAGGGAATGTTTTCATTTTCAATATAACGACAACACATAATAAGAGAAAGACAGTGCATTGGAAATGATGGACTTTCTTTATAAGGGTGTTTAACAAATACCAAATCCTAATATTTAAAGCTATTGGTCAACGAATGCCTATGAGACATTTGTTAAGTAATTGAGGAAATATTACAGTTTTCAATGCATTAACTATTTTGAAATGCGTGTAATCAGTGTTTTGAAAATTAAAACTTTCCCTAATTAAGTATAATTGACTAGTGAATTATATGTCAGGGTTATCATTAACGAGACCTAATTGGTAGTACACACACTTATTGTCAACAACTACAACATGCGGTAATCGAACTTGTGATTTATATCTCATTGATTACGTAGCATGATTTGAAGACATTAAATATACATGCCTATAAAAAGACACGAAGAAGACCGTGGTTTAATATGAACAGATAACTTGGTTTTCGTGTCCTTGCGGACTTCTTAACTTCGCTCTCTCTCTCTCTCTCTCTCTCTCTCTCTCTCTCTCTCTGCGTTTATTTGTGCCCGGAGTTTGCACCGTGTGATTGCATAAACTAGAAGGGGAGAAGAAGATGGGGGCTCTTGATTTTTTATCAGATTTTTGCACCATTTCTACCACAAGAAAGAAGCGCAAGCCGATGCAGGTACTCACTTTCTTTCTCTGTCCACCCACACAACGAAAGAAGAAAACCACAGAGAGATTTCAGCTTGTAGTTGTAGGAGTTCTCGTGCATAGTAGGAGGGTTTTTAGCTTCAACAGTTCTCTTTCATTTTTTTCTTCCCTCTTCAGACGGTTGAAATCAAGGTGAAAATGGACTGCGATGGCTGCGAGAGGAGAGTGAAAAGCGCTGTTTCGTCCATGAAAGGTACCAAATACGTATCTCAACTGGCACTATAGAGCTCACATGTTGGGCTGATCATTGGCAGCGTGATCATTTATATGCTTTACATTCTGGTTTTTGGCAACCGATTTCGCGCAGTTTAATCTTGTTACTGCAAGATGAGATATCATGGAAAATATATGAAGTGTTTTATTGACCCAGAATTCATTTGACTTAAGTTGAGCTGGGTAGACTTTCTTGTTATGAAAAACAGGAGTAATGACAGATTCATGACACAGTAGTTATGGAAGAAGAGAACCTCTGAGCGTCCACAAGGTAAAGCAAAAAGCTGAAGAAGACATTAATATCACTTTTGACCCAATTCCTCTCTTCATCCACCTCCTCCTGGAAACCCTAGCATCATAAATACTGCGCAGTAACTAGAGCCATAGTTTCTTGTCCTGATGAGTCCCTCGATGTTTGGAAATCCTTTGTTTGTCCCAATGAGTTGAATGAGCATTTAAGTAGTGCTCAATGTGCCAAAACATTTTTATGGAATTTTGTTTACTAAATGAGTTGATTGAGCATTTAAGTAGGTCAACGACTTTATATATGAGTCTCCTTCTTTAATCATCAAAATGTGATCTTATGGATCCTAATGCTACTGGCAAACTGGCAACATAGGTATGCCTTCATGTCTCTTTGTATCGTGAATTTGAACTAAAACGTAGGGGCCATCCTATGGGGCCACGGCTACGTTCCCTAGCTGTTTGAATATTTTTTTTTCACTTTCTTCGATCCCATCACTTCTTGAAGTTGGAAATGCCATACAAGTGAACCCTAGCAGAGTATCCGTATACTTGTAGGTATCATAAAAACCACGATAGTATGATAACCTTGTCGCAGACATCCAAACCAAATTAACGAAAAAACCACATAATTAGTAGCACCGGTGATTATTGGAGGGTGTGCATCGAGCTGGGTTCTTGGGTCGGGTCTAATTTGTTCTTTAGCCTTGTCCATAACAAAAATTTATGTATGGAATTTTTGGGATGGGCCGGGTTTTATAACTAAACAGCCTTGCCCAAGCCCATCTAAAAATTACCCTTCAAGCCCATTTGGCCCTGATGGGCCAGTGGGCCGCCAGGCCCCATGATTAGATCTAGAAATTTCATTTCTAAATAGCACGTGACATGATGCGGAAGAGAGCGGAAAAAAGGTATGAACCGTACTGTGATGGCTTGATTTTGTACACTTCTTTCACAAATTTGCTAATCAGCCACAATGATAATCTAGTTCATCACTCATTTTGGTATATGATTATGAGTTTTCATTTACATTTTATCAGTCATAAGATCAATCAAGACATCCCCGGACCTTATACTTTTAGATCTATCTAGTAGATGTTAGATATAGATTGTGAAATCAGCTCCTAACGACTTGAGTTTGAGTTTTGGCCCGGTCCATTTTCCAGGAGTGAAATCGGTGGAGGTGACCAGGAAGCAAAGCCGGGTGACGGTTCGGGGGCATGTGGAGCCAAGCAAGGTCTTGAAGAGGGTGAAGAGCACGGGAAAGAAGGCGGAGCTATGGCCCTACATCCCTTACAACTTGGTGGCCTACCCATACGTGGCTCAGGCTTATGACAAGAAGGCGCCCGCTGGTTACGTCAAGAACGTGGCCCAAGCCCTACCCAACCCAAACGCCACCGACGAGCGGTTAGTCACGCTCTTCAGCGACGAGAACCCCAATGCCTGTTCCATCATGTGATGGTGATATATCAGCACCCTATAGTTCCACGGCGAGGAGTTCTTGTCACATGAGAAAGAATATTGTGAATCGCGCACATTAACAATACAGTTCAATACAGTTTGTCTTGCAAAGTTGTGGTTCACATGACATGTATGTTCAATATTGTTGCCAGCGTGGATGGAATTTGGCAACCAGCTACTCCATTTGGAAGTACCTTGGGCCTGGTTCATGACAGACTGATTTATACGTGCAAGTCCTCGCTCTTGTTTTAGCTCATTGGCGATTGATTGTGGCCACATTTATGCTCGCCATGGTTGCAAGAGGCAGAAAGTGTGCCAACCATCTTCAACGCTACGTACCAGTAGAAATCGTCGAGTAGGTTAAGACTTGACATCACTTTACCACTTAAGAAGTGCGATCACGTTTTCAAAAGCTCCATCTAATCCCACCGAAAGGGAGTTACTTAAGCATATGACTACATGCCCTTTGGTATTGACTATTGATAATTAGCTGGTTGCGACGGAGCATGGGATTGGCCGCAGCCCTGATGCAGCTAATCGGGCTCAACAAGAGACTCAAACATCCGACGTTATAAAGAAAGCAAGAAAAATCTCGACTATTACCTACGCATCTTATTTTGGAGAATTTGTTGTAGAGTGCCATTATGATACCTAAGCATTAATTATAGATCGAGATTATAAGTTTCCAAAACGTATCAAGTTAATGAGAAGAAAGAAGCAACTTTCAATCGGAAGACAAATGTGGTCCCATCTGAAGCGTCCCAAAGTCATCAACAGATGAATTCTCACTCCTTTATTAGGACAAGATGGTGAAACACTCAGCTGAATTTGTATACAGATCCCCAAAAACATCATTTTGCATGATTGCTCTATTAACATCGTTTAAGAAAACCTAATCCTCGCTTTCATCGACATTGCCTGTTTTGGATCCAGAATGGAACCCAAAACATCACAGGCTAAATCGTTCTTCCACTTGAGATATAATTACGAAAAACCTACACGGTTGGAAACATGATGGGACGAGGAACGAGATCCTAAGCGAGTCAGGGATTTGATGAACTCATGATAAAACTCTTCAAAATCGAATTAGACGCTGAAGTGGTCATTAATCGAATTAAACATTCACCATGGAGATTCATCTTTCTTCTAAATATCGAGTGCAAGCCGGGAAATACCTTCAGCAAATGCAGGAGATATGACTAGTTCGTACCTTTCATAACAAGAATCGACATTGCCCTGTGCTATTGCTTGCTAAGAGAGAAGCCGATCTCACCATATTTTCCATGTTTTTCTATGGCATCCCACCATATGTAGACTACCTAAGGACTGCATGCAGTCGATTTTCGCATGGACATTGCAGAGATGTGAGTCTCTATTGTTGGGGAAAACCTAGTCTGAAATTGGATGAACATTGAGCAGTCAATCAAAGAGATTGATCCCATGAGTCTAACGTAAGTCTCGCAAAATCAAACGAACGTGATTCACCAGATCTATGAAGCCCAAATTAGGTGATATTGAATATGCTGGTTTGAACTATTTCCATCTATGAATGCTTTTCATTTGAAGGAAAGGAAGAAGTACACCTCCTACTCAGATGTCCTTACCAAGGCAATGTTCTTTCCAAGAGTGAGAAAGAGGAGTAAAGGTTTGAAATAGAGGTGATCAAACGACGAACGACCCGTCAAGGCCTAAGAGGTAAATGGACGAGTTTGAGCAATACTCTTAAATGAGTAAGATCGGCACGTCCATCTTTGACCCTTTCGATCCGACCCCGTCTAATGATCACCTCTAATCCAAAATGAGGCGATTTACCGTTTTAAGTAATTCAGACCCCAAAAAAAAAATGTTTTAACTACTGAGGAGCGGGAAAGAAACAGAAGATATCATCAGAGGCAAAGTAAAAAAACAGCAACTTGACAGGCCGAGAGTGCTGTTCATGTATTGCCTCTTGGGCTTCGCTCGCTTGGGGACTTGAGTTTCTTCTGTTGCTTTGAGATTTGGGCCCAACGGACTTTTTATGTGAGCGTTGTATTTGTGCATTAAATATTTGCATTGTCTCAATTTTTTTTTGCAAGTAAAATGATGGAGTGGGGCGATTAGCCTTAAGAACCTCTCATCAACGTTATTATAAGACTCTTACACCCATTTAGAAATGTTCTATTTGATCCATAATTACTCCGCATCATCTGCATTTTGAAAATCCAAGATTGACGAGCCCATCACTGCAGCTCCACCAAGAACACGGAAAAGATTGTATACTGATTTTGAAAAAAAAAAAGAACAAAAAAACTAACCTAACATTTCAACATATGCGTCTTGAGCTCAACTGCTAAGCTAAATAAGTATACTTTAAACAATGAAAAGGCGTTTCATCGTTATTTACTTTTCTCAAAAAATGGACGACAACATTGCATTCTATTCCGAGCTCAAAGGATTGTTACGTAGTTGGGCACGTATAAAATGGAAAACTATTTCCCATTACCAATTCCAGTTTCTATTTTGTGTTGTGAAATATCATCTTTAGCGAATCAACCCCCAAGTTCACCCCAGTTTTTTTCTTGCTGTGAAGTTGACGTAGTGATGAAAAGAATCGACCTATCCGAGGTTTTATAGGTAAGATGTCCGGTTTCTCCAATGGTTTGGGTGAAAAAGCATCTCAAGGTCTCCAATTCGGATTTCATTTCAATGACCCATCAGAAAGAATCACCTGGCGATCATATCAACGCTTCTGTCCAAACTTTCTGTCATCATCGATGCATTTTGCTAGTAGTTTCCACCAGATATCTTGACTTGTGTAGCTCTATGCGCTTGCGATTTTTCTCACGCGTCTGGTTTACTTTGTCAACTTGGTCCCAATCCCTCTCCTGGACACGGAGTGCACTACTTATGTGGTTAATGTGACTGATGGTCCTAGTTTCTGTTGAGCGTCAGAGGCGCGGCAACAATATTGATTTGATGGAAGAAATTTTTTAAGGTGAAACAATCGCAATTCGCGTCTTTCTATTGCATGTCTCAATTACAAGAGAAATAGACTATATATAGACCATAGTTTGATTCGAAATAGGAAACCTCTTTTTAGGAAATCTATTCTAATTAGGAAATCTAATTGACTTAGGAAACTTTCCTAAAATATAACTAGAAACAATATCTCACAATATCTAACAAAATATGGAAATACGAACAGACTCAAAAAGGAAACAGGTACTAACAAATTTGGTTTAATTTCTAACACTCCCCCCTAAACCAAATTCTCTTCCATCGATCATTCCAAGCAGGCTCTTGAACTTTCGAAAAGCATCGATCTTGAGAGGTTTAGTAAAAATATCTGCTACTTGATCTCCGGTCTTCACATGCAATACTTCAACTTCATTCTCTTTAACCTGTTCTCGGATGAAGTGATATCGAACATCGATATGTTTACTTCGTTCATGAAAAACTGGATTTTTCGTCAAAGCAATAGCAGAAACATTATCAACAAAAATCTCCGTTGCTTTCTTATGCTCCATAAGAATATCTTTGAGTAGTTTTCTCAACCATATTGCATGACAAACGCATGAAGATGCAGCTACATATTCAGCTTCACATGTCGACAGAGTAACACTTGATTGCTTCTTTGATGACCACGTGAAAGCAGAGTTGCACAAGAAAAATACAAATCCCGTGGTGCTTTTTCGATCGTCGATATCTCCACCATAATCACTATCCGAATAAGCTCTAAGTTTGAAAGATTCAGAGCAATAATAGTGTAAACCATGAGAAATAGTACCTTTGATGTACCAAAGTATTCTCTTTGCAGCTTTAAGATGAGATGATTTCGGCTTCTCCATGTATCGACTAACAATTCCAACACTATACATAATATCCAGTCTCGTGCATGTCAAGTATCTCAAACTTCCAATCAAGCTTCTATAATATGTCGAATCAACATCGGCACCATCATCAAACTTCGAAAGCTTGGTTCCACATTCCATTGGTGTATTGACCGGCATACAGTTCTTCATGTTGAATTTTTCAAGGATATTTTCTGCATATCCTTTTCGGGAAATAAAAATCCCATCGGCACTTTGCTTCACTTCGATACCAAGGAAATAATTCATGAGACCATTATCGGTCATCTCAAATTCTTTCACTATCGATGCCTTAAAAGCATCAATCATCGCCGAATTATTTCCTGTAAAAACAAGATCATCAACATATAAACAGGCGAGTAGAATATCACCTTTTTCTTGCTTCAAATAGAGTGCATGCTCATATGGACATTGAAAGAATCCATTCGCCTTGAAATATGCATCAATTCTGGAATTCCATGCTCTCGGTGCTTGTTTAAGCCCATATAGAGCTTTCTTCAATCTTAGCACTGTCTTCATAACCTTTCACAACAAACCCCTCGGGTTGTTCGACATAAATTTCTTCTTCAAGGATGCCATTCAAAAATGCTGATTTGACATCCATTTGATAAATCCGCCAATTATTTTGAGCAGCAATGGAAATAATCAATCTAATCGTTTCCATGCGGATGACAGGGGCAAAAACTTCATCATAGTCGATTCCGGCTTTTTGCTTGTACCATTTCGCTACTAATCTAGCTTTGTACCTTGTTACTTCACCTTTCTCATTCTTCTTGGCCTTGTACACCCATTTAACACCAATTGATTTCTTGTCCTTCGGAAGATTAGCAAGCTCCCATGTTTGATTTTTCTCGATGGCTTCAATTTCTTCGTTCATGGCTTTCCTCCACTTTTCTTCTTTGGCCGCATCATCATAAGCAAGTGGTTCATAATCTGCAAGAAGACATATAAGATGAAGCTCTTCGGTAGCTTCGTAAATTTCAGACAATCTTCTTGATCTTGGCACTAGCGGTTCATCGACACTATTTGAAGAGGATGGTGTTGATGAACTTGAATAAGATGTTGGAGAAGAAGGTGAAGGTTGATCTTTCAACTCTGTTTGATCGGAATCATCACGAACATTCGCTTCTTCTTTTAGATTTTCTTCCCACATTCCATCTTCATCGAACTTGACATCTCTACTTACATACACTTTCAAAGTGTTAGGGTCAAATAATCGATAGGCTTTGGATGATGAGTCATACCCGATAAAGATGAGCTTTT